AAAAGCGGTTGGGAACTGATTGAAGCTGGTGAAAGCTGTTGGTTCTCCCGGAGCTGTTGATTCTCTTGGAGGAGCTTGTCAGGCTGGCTTTCCTGATGAACTCAGCTGTCTCATCATCCAAGGAGCTCGGGACCTTCTTGTCACTGAAATGGCTACAGTTCACTTTGGGGGAGCTCTGGTCCTTGCTTTGAGCATTGCTTCCCAGCTCTGGAAGGGAAGATGGGGCACTGCTCAGTCTCCTGGAGAAGCTTGCCTCGCTGGCTTCCTTAGAGGAGTTCGGCTGTTCTCATCATCAGAGGAGCTCGGGACCTCACTGTTTCTGAGGATGGCTGTGGTCCTTTTCAGGGGAGCTCTGGCTCTTACTTTGAACGTCATTTTCTGGCTCCAGCGCAGATCCCTCAGCCTGCTAGCACAGATCCTTTATTCTTCTGGCCTGGACTTCTAGCTCCCACCACTGACCTTTGGGCCTTCCCAGTGCAGATCCATGAAACAGGCTTGCATGGGACATTGTCATGGGCTCTTGGCCTCCAGCTGGACTCATACGGAGCATTGTTATGGGCTCTAGGTCTTCAGTTAAGAGTCATGCAGGACATTACTGTAGGAACCAGGCCTTTAGCTGGATTCTTTGGTCTTTAGAGTGTGGACAGATTTCCTGCACTCTTTTTGTATATGACTCTTTGGGTGACTATTATAAAATAATCTTATAATTAAGTATACTGTATTGTATTGTTTCCCCTTGCAAAACACTGAACTACAACAGCTGTATTCGTTTTCTAGCATCACCATAACAAATTAGCACAAGCCAAGTGACTTTGCACAACATAAATCAATTCTCTCATAGTCTTGGAGGTCAGGATTCTAAAATCAAGAGGTTCACATGGTCCTGTTCCTCAGTACGGCTCCAGGAAAGGATCCATCCTTCTCTCTTCCTAGCTTCTCCCGGTTGCCAGCAACCTCTGGCTTTTATTGACTTGCAGCAGCTAACTCCAACCTCTCTGCCTGATGTCACATGGCCTCTGTGTCTTCACTGTGTCTTCCCTCTGTACACCTGTGTCCAAATTTCCCTCTGCTTATACAGACACCAGTCATTGGACAACAGGCCACCTAGTAGGACCTCATCCTGTCTCCATTCCATTTGCAAAGACTTCATCCAAATTAGTCATGCAGGGGCTAGGACTTGATCACATCTTTCAGGGGCAAAATTTAACCCACAACATCAGTCAATAAATTTCCTTTGAGCTTAACCACTTCCGCTTTGTTTTTTGATCATTTCCACCAAGAAAGATGCACAGCCAAGATTTACCCCCAGGTCTCTTAGTATCTTAAGAGTCAAGGTCAACAACTGAGTCTACACCTGGGTCTGTGCCTTGATCGACCACAGGGATGAACTCTATGTCTGGTCTATCTCTCCCCCAAAAGGTAGTGGCAGACTATGGACCAAGGCTCAGGGTTAACTGTCTTTATCTGCCCCATGACCACTCTATACAACATACTCAACAAAAATGAGATTGACTCTTCCCCAATAAATGAAAATTCAAGTAGCGCAATTGAATTAGGCATAGTCTGTAACAGGATGGCAGACTGAGACTGACCGTGACTTTCATCTTGGAAATATAAACACTGACTGTCTGTGTGGCCACTTGTGGGATTCTCCAGTTTGGAAAGGTGGTGACAACACACACACACACACACACACACACCAGATATTTCATGTCCAGAACAGAACACCAGCCGTGTCTCCGTCACGTGCAGGGCCATGTTTACTTCAGGGCCTGAGAGAAGGCTGTCATTCAGCTCATTAGAGTAAAAGTATGAAAACAAAACTGATCTCTGTAGAGTCATTTTAAATGAAAACTATATCCTAGAGGCAAGTCAAGGAAGCAAACTGACCGACAGAGCACAAGGCTCTGGGCAAGAAGAGCAACAGAGTGAGAAGCCAGGTAGGAGGTAGAAGCCAGGACTTCTGCAGACATAGATGGGAGCTGATCACAAAGCCCACTCCGCACAGGGAAGATGCACAGTGGTGCCTTCCCGTTCCTTCCTCTGTATAAAACCACCACCCACTGATTCTGCTCTTCCTTGAATCCTGCTTGGCTGGGTGCCAGACAAGCCCACACTCATGGAACCCACCAGCCAAACAAGTAGGCAGGGGTTCCCCTGTAGCAGAGCTTCTGAGAAAAGTGGACTTGGGGCCATAGCCCCAGGCACAGTACATGTAGATGTAGTCATTCCTGTGGCTTCTGTAACAAATCACCGCAAATCGGGGGACTAAAAAACAGAAACTCGTTCTCCCACAATTCTGAAGGTGAGAAGACCAAAATCAAAGTGTCAGGAGGGCTGGTTTCCTCTTGGAGAATCTGTCCATGCAACTTCCAGCTTCCCTGGTGGGCACTCCCCTCCGGGTTTGTGGGTTTGTGGACACACAGCCCAACCTCCGCCTGCTGTCTTCACGTTGTCTTCCCCTCGCTGCCTTCCAACAGCCTTCTCCTGGTGTCTCCGTGTCTCAGATCTCTCTCCTTTCTTTTATGAGAACAATGCCCACAAAACATAGGGCCCATCCTAAATCCAGGATGACCTTATTGTATCCTTAACTTGATTATATCTGTAAATACCTCATTTCCAAATAAAGTCACCTGTGTACTAGGGCTTAGGACTTGGCCTATGGGGAGTTAGGGCACACGATTTAATACACTTCAGTACACTTGGAGAAAGACCTAGAATTTTGCATTTTTAACAAGCACTCCAAGTAACTTGGACAGGTAATCTCTATGCCAGACTCTGAGAAAACTGATCTGATTGCTAGGCATTCAAAGATAAGTAAAACACATTCCCCTGCCTTGGGAAACCCACCATCTAGTGGAAGATATAGACAGATAAACCAGTGACTAAAATACAAAGCAGTACCTAGGGTTCCCAAGTAAAGTCTCAGAGTCAGACAGACTAAGGTTCAAATCCTGCCTCCTGCAATTCTGAGCCATATGGTCTGAGCAAGTTCTTAGCCTGAGCTAAGTTCCCTTATTTATATATGAAATACTTCCTACCCTTGTCATTGTAAGAATGAGGTTCAAACAGCTAAGGAAAATACTTAGCTGCTTCATATGAAATGCTGAACCTGAGCATGTATTCAGAAATAGCCAAGAGTTATTATTAAGGTGGAAAGCAAGTTGAATTCATTTCACATTCCTCACAACACCTGGCTGGGGGGTCTTCCACATTCTAGATCGTCAGTATACGCCTGTGGAATGCAAGATGCCACTGGAGGGGAACTCAGCCGGGATGGACGTGACGGTGTAGGATCCACTGACCTATTCAACAAGCTCTTAGTGCCCACCTGCTGTGTACAGCGCTCAGTGTGCAGGCACTGGGAATAAAGAACCAATCCAAACAGAGGGCCCAGTCAGGAGAACAATCCTTACAGTACATTATAGCCAGTGCAAGGCAGCGATGAGCCCGAGGCAAGAGGCACACTTAAGGGACAGCCATGCAGTTTTGCATTTGACAGCATCCCATCTTGTAGTAGGTTCTTATAACTATGTGGCTGTCCTCCCAGACCAGAGCATTAAGCCCCAGGAGTCTGTTTCGGGCAGGAGGGGTTGTCTGGCTTGGCTTATCGATCACTGGAGTCTAAGCACACTATGTCGCTGACTTCCAGTAGGCATCTGACACATCTGGTTGGAGCAGTGGACATCCTGCTGCTATTTTGGGGCTCAACACTGGGCTTCTATGGAAGACTATCTCCCCTCTCCCGAATCAGGAAGTATGAGTCTTGCCGGGCTCAGAGACAAGATGCCCGAGGATCTGCCCCTTGACATGAAGCCTGGCAGTTGAAAGAGATGGAGCTGGGTTGCAATACGATGTATCCGAACACTGTAGGTCAGTAGAGCTGTCCCACACTAAACACACTAAACTAGAGCAGAAGCCGTAACATTCCAAAAGAGGAGGAAACCCCCTTTCGGAATAAGATGCACGTGCTGGACATTCAGTGGTCAGGTAACACGGGGAACTGTCAGCACAGGCCGGATAACACAGGGAGGCTTACCTGGGGGGAGGGAGCAGCCAGCACCCTCTCACCTGGAGAAGCCAGCAGCCTCTCCCAGGCCTACAAATTCTTAGGGTGGGCTGGAGAGGAAAAGGCATAGGAGTCTGAGAGCAGATCCCTGGGCTATGTTTAGGAGAAGATCTGTATGGAGGGCACGGTGTTCTTTTCCACAGATCGGAGCACTTGCACCTGTCTGGCTTCTTTGCTGAAAGGCCACACGCACAGTAGGCCCGCAGCAAACACGTGTTGGTGGAACTAAGGAAGGCGTGAGCTGGGAGGACCCGGAACTCCCCCCCCACACACACACACAAACCCAGCAGGTCTTTCCACCTGGCCCGGCTGTGGCCCCAGGGCCCGGATTTCCCCCTTGGCACCGCTTTCCGTTTCAGCATCAGGCGTCCAATCGCTTGCCTCGAAAACAGCGGTGACCAGGCCTGCAGGTGGGGCTGGGCTGCTCCTCCTCCCGGATCCCAAAAGTGCGCGCTCCAATCCAGGGCCAAACCCTGCCCCGGGAAAAGGCCCCTCCCCAAAAGCTGGCAGCAGATGGCGCGGGAGACGGGGGCGCCCGCGCAGACCCGAGGACGAGGGCGGAACGGCGCGGCGCGCAGGTGGCGCGGGGCAGCGCGCGGAG